ATAGAAAAAGCTTATCGTCACAGCAGTTCAAAAGACGAATTGAGATGACGCGAGTGACGTCGTGCGCGGATGAAGGAGACCGGAATGTTTCAAGTAACATAATCCCGCATTGCTAATCTACCTTCACGTCGACTGCTCCGCGAGATCTGAGCCAGCCTTAATACACTAGACGGCTACCGTGAATCGTTATCGAATGTTCATCTATCTGAGGCCCTCGCAAACATTTAGTGGCTAGCCTACTACGCCTGTTTTTGCAAGCCTAAAACAGAGTTATTAAAATTATATATATATAATCTGATAGTAATGGAATCACTTACTAGATCACCTGTGCAAAAACACTTTTCTATGGCTGCTGTCAGTAGGATTAAGAAATTACTCTCCAGTAGAATCATTTTTGTTCAACAAACGATTGCGTTCATATATAGAATTGTTTTGATCCGTTAATATATAGCCTCACGTTTTGCCCCTTTTATTTTTCCTGTAAAATATGGCTTGTGTCCTTCTTCTGTATTTCTTGTTTATCCTTGCGTCCTTTCTAATCGTTAAAGCAGCCTGTACAGCCTACATACCTATAGGAGTTTATGAAACAAATTCCAAATGCAAATTAAGGAGATATTTTATCCAGATTTTACCTTGTGTTACGTTAGCTAGCACGCGCATACCGCTTGCATTGGTTTTTCCAGCGATCTTCTAGCGTCAGCAAGAATAGATACATCGTCATTGCCACACTCTCGACTTTGATGTCTCTCGTTGTAGAAGATGGCAGAATGTTCTACATTCCATAGATTCGTCTAGGGTCGTTTCACTATCGCTTGATTTACCGCCCTATACTAACTGGAAGATAGAATTACGTTTGATAGCTGAGTCTGCACGTTAGCTAGATAATTGCGACTCCCGTTACGTTCATTATAGTACTTGTAAAGACAATAGATGCTCCGGTGTCTCCCGCTTTCTTAGCTAAGACCCGATGTCACAAACTCGCGACCTCAAAGCCCCTCCTACCAACCATACACGCAATGAGAATATTTTCGTCAATGTCTCTGTGAATCAATTGATGACACTGAGCTGACGTGAGCTAAATTTAGCTGGCAATATGTAAATCAGAAGGTTCACTGGGGTTTCGGAAAATTGATGCTAGTCGAGCTAGTAAAGCTCTATTTCCTTTTTTCTCCGTCAGTCTTCCCATTGTTTTTATCTGTTTATACATGTATATACGGTAATATAGGACGTTAATCACGGAAGAATAGCAGAACGAAACAACGAATTAAGATTCTACGTAGACACGAACCCAAAGACACACACATACACTCCCCTGGTGCAAAACCACTATTTACCGCGTAGATCCCGTACAGTGATATCCGCGCTATTCGGCACTGAATCGTTATTATGGGAAACATGAGCGCTTTCTCGCGTTCATGCGTGCCTTTTCTTCACTGTTATCTTCAGTGTCTTCGCCATTGTCATCTTACTGATCGTGGTCGTTGAGTGTGTCTTTCCCTTGTCACTATTAGATTATTGTTGCTAATGTTTGTTCCCTTATTCTTTCGTTGCTAAATGTACAAAGCTACCTCTAATATCGGGTCGACTCAACATCAGCGGCAGATACACATCGATGTGGCGCGGCAACGACTGCGTCCACGTTACTGACTACCCATTTCATCCTACCACAAAATAGACCTGCCACATACCACAAAACCTGACGACTTACGAGTCTGGCTAACAGGTTCTAAGAAGCAGATGAACTTGAAGCAATAGCACGATAGCAGCTCTCTTCGCTTTTCTATTGGGCACACATTTTATCTCAGCTTATCCTTCTAGTCCTTTGGTGTTGTAGTTAAGCTTGTTCTGTCTTCCTTTTTTTGGCCTCTCTTCGTCCCGGTAGCTTCGCTCACTCCTTCTTTTTTCCTATTTCCCATTCGCGGCATACCTTTTCCCTCTAAACTAAAAGAAAGTATTAAAAAAATCGGAAAAAGTCACAACGAAAAATGGGAGCGAGGGTGAAACACGCGGCATCGTCTGCTGCGACGTTCGTTAACGTCGATGCCGCGATTAAGTCAATTTCAGGTAGAACACCTGTAACTCTTTTTGCAGAGAGTGCGCTAGTGCAGCTGATGTTGTTATTATTAGTGCACCCCTGGTGGCGTTTACATAAAGCACATTCGTTCACTTCTATTATCACTTAGCTATTTTTTCTACGAATCAAAAAACATAAAATAATTAAGTGCACGACTTGTCAGATAGATAGCGTACTTGTATGCCCTAGCAACCCTTTACCGATATTTAGCTTCCCCGTGGTAATCCATAGGTTTAGGTAATATTATAGATAGGTAATAATCCAGAGGTTTTAGCTCTCCGTTGCCATCTCCAGGTTCAACACATTAACTGCCATTGGCTCCTAAACGATGTATATAATTATATCTATTCAGCTATTGATAGCCTCTATCAGAAGGAAGTCCCCTTTAGGAAAACTATGAGGAATTATTGAATATATGGATGCTACCTGGGATGAGATAATGGCTGATATTCGCGTGCGCCCCGCTGCTTCATCAGCAAAATGGAGCAGGCTCAGCCGGATTGAGAAGTCAGGCTAACCGATATAGCCGTAGATTTTTTAAAGGAGTTCGCCGCTGCTGGCTGGCTGGCTGGCTGGTCGGCAAAAGAAGCCGCCGCAGCAGAGCATTACAAACAGAAACAATAGATGCAGATTCTATCATGGCCGCAGCCATACTATGAGACCAGTGACCAATGTTTGGCTCTAAACGAGAGAGTACGTCTAAAGGTCTCAGGTCCGATAATAGTGCGAAGCTTGTGCGTCTTCTGGAAGAAAGTTCGAGTTTGTACATATAGTGGTGATTTGGTTAGGTGTGCATGTGTCCCAAAGTTTGTTTGTCAGTCACCTTCTGACTAATGTTACCAGTGCCTAGGGAAAGACGAGCCGTAATTGAGAGAAACCAGCGCAAGCAAATTATATATGCCGACCCAGCTCACTCTTTTTGTTAGTCATATAACCATTTAATAGATAGATATATACTTAAATAAACCGTACTCTCCTTTATTAGTCTTTGCCTAAAAACAGTCAAGGCCATCTTAGAAATTCGACACGCAGTCTCTTCGTTAACAAGAAATTGAAAAAACTTTTAGCTTATTACATCTCAGCTTCAAATTGGCCTTAATTTGTCCTTCGTACCCGTTTTCTGATCAGCTGTTGAAAACAATATCAACGTCAAGGAACCGCTGCGAGATCATTCTGTCACCAATGTCCTCAGAGCTTAAAGGGTTGTTTTCGACAGGAAACATGGTGGAACAGCATGAAGCATTCGACGTAGACTTCAGGGACTAGGTTTACCGCCTCTTCACAACTGTGTGTCGCAAGAGTACACATTATACGTATAGTTAAAGGTGAAAAGTTTTATAAGGGTTATCAATCTATATAGCAAGCATAGGAGTCTGTCAAAAAAAACGTCCAGTAGAATTTGACTATGAGTTAGATTGAAAAAGGCTTTAAATAAGACAACGTAATCCAGTAAAACTTAATATTGGACCGGAATTTGGAGCATAGAAATCAGGGCTTGCATGCATTGGCAAGCAGTTCGAGACACCTGGGTCTAGCCCGATATAATTAGACGATAATTGAATAATATATTCACCATACATATGTAAGTAAACTTGGATCTGTACGGTAATAAGTTAAAGCCTTAACGGGTTCCTGGAATAAAATCATAACAATATATTGGCCTGTAAAAGATTAGGGCCAATGAAGGCCGATTTTCCATTACTATATAGGTGTGCGAAAAATATACCAATTACGGCTTAGAAATCGAGTGGATTTTTTTAGGCTCCTGTTGTATATAAAGGGTCGATTTTGGTAGACATCTCGTTCTTCTCTGGATTGGCTATTAGTGATGGGGTCACATTATCTTCATCGATTGTTATTTCGTCAGCGTTATTCGACTCGGCATCAATTCGTCTTCGGCACGCTGCATTTTAGGTATCGTCTGCTATCAACAACGAGCTGAAACGAATGTCAACCATGTACTATTGTGCTCCGATTATGCTATATAGATATATGACCCACGATGGGATATGCTTAGTTTGCCTCTAGGTCACGTATAATATTCAACTTGGGATCCCTTGCAGATGTTTAGAAGCAGCTGCTTTTGGTCCGTTATTTACGTCCGGGTGTTTAAACTATTAGGGATTACTCTAAACAGATGGCCCCTCCAGACGCGAAACTAACTAGTGTTTACGTCCGGATTTGTGCCTAAACCGCCGCGTGCCCTTAAGTTTAGTAAGCAAACTCGTTAATAGTTTCGATACGCAGGGAAAGGGGTTGAAATTTGGAACGATTACATCCAAAAAGATTCTGAAGGAAAAAGAGTGCTTTGGACTGCAGTGGAAAATTCGATTTATTCCTGATACTGAAAATGATGCGGGCAAAGTTCCGAGTTTACAGGTGTTGAGACATAGCGCGTCTGGTGGAGCGGAGAATTCGGAGGTGACTACGGTCAATTGTTCTGTAGGCATCCACCGACCGTTTCTCCTGCCAGCTCGTAGTGGTATCTAAAAGGATGCATTGGCTGGTATTAGTTTCGGAGGAACAAAGGCCAGTCGTCGGGTTTGGAGTTTCCATGTATCATTCAGCCCCAGCCATACGCGTTGACGCATTGGTTCTGTCACCTAACAAAAAAGTAGTTACTTAACTCAGTTCACGATAAGCCTTTAACCCTCAAGTCTACTATACATAGTAAACAAATGATCATTTTGATGTCTGTATAGAAGCGCGAAATGTTGACTTCTCTATATCACATGCAAAATCCGACATGGAGTAATGTCGAGCGCTGAAAATGACCAGTTCTCAGCGAGCGATGCCTCAGCCAACATAGTAAGACTACGATAGTTGTTTTAGTATAGCTGTTTTATGGAATAAGAAGCTTGACCGCCCATAAGACCGTGTACTATACGTTACCGTAGTTACAAATGAAGAAACGTCATAATTAATATTTGTTATTACTAACGTATTTATTGTCTTCTTTCACCCCTCGTCGATATATGTGCAAATAAGTCGTTCCTATTTACCTGCAGTCTACTACTTGTTGCAACGTTCAGCCGAAATTTAATTACAATTTCATGTTTTCTTTACAATGCTGTTTAATGATCCTTCGTCATCCTTCACTCTTATTAACCTCGTATCATAGACATGATGCACGGACGTTTCAACATAGCTGCAAATTTATTTGATGCCCCATTTATCTTTATGCTAGAGACCTTTTTGTCCCACACAATCGCATTTTTTTGCATATATATATATATATTTGTTTGTAGCTACGCAAATTCAATATATATATATATATATATATGTAGAAGCGTATGAAATATTGAACTGTGTATCATATATAGAGCAAGTCACAGAATGTTTACATCGCTTCATTCGTTGGTGAAGTAGCAAGAGACAAATCCAATGAACACTACAAGCCTAATAAAACTCTACTAGTATTCAATGAGATGCACCTTATATCTAATTAGAAGATAATTTCGTAAAGCAGTGTCTGATGATGATGATTCAACTAGAGTCTTATTTTATAGGTAATAGTTTTTTGACAGCGATAATTCTGACTAAATCCTGTGTTTTGTGGATGATACACTAACATTTTGTTTCTTCTTGCAAAGTTGAGTGTTTATCGCGCCGCAAAACGATTATAGCCCAAATTCGTCCGCTGGGCGTAAACTTCGAACGGGTCGTATGCCAAAGGTTGGCCATCCTTGTAATAAACGACCCGTCTACCATTATCGACGAAAGAAAGCCTTACCGAGGCTGCAGAGGGATGGGGTTTCTGATCATAATAGTCGAATTTGGATAGCTGGTTAGACAAAGGCCGATGGAATACAGAAGGTCGACCCACTTCACCAGCTAAACGAATCGGAACGTTGTAGCGGCTTTTGTTGACGACGTACTCATTGCGGTTTCCTGTGAACCATATTAACAAAAACGTTTTATTAATACGATCACGGCTTAACTATTGGTAGCAAAATGTATATATTATAAACATTTTCGCGATTAATAACAGCAATCAAACTTCCGTAGGCGCCAATACCAATGTTGGAAATTAATTCACATATTTTTGCTTCGTCTAGGTAGTAACAGAAAATGGTCATTCTAAAGGGACCTCATAAGATCTTTGTCAGTTTGTTATGGACCTCCTTTTTTAGGTTTCTACGCATAACACCGTGCTCAAAAGAATAATTATAATACTACAAATGGACAAAATGATGGAGCAAGGATTGACAAATAGATACAAAATTATACCGTAAAAGTCGACAATGCGAAGCGCATGCCGCGCCGTTATAACCTGTTATTTGTGGCTCGTTTAGATCTATTGAATAGAATTGGCCGCGATCTGTCTATAGGCAGGATTCTGGCATTACAATAGTCTTAATTTCTAGTGAGCGAGCGACGTCCATAATTCTGCTGGCGTTAAAGGACAAAAAGAGGCCATGAGTTTTCCAATGCGAAAACTCATGTATGAAGGCTGGAGACTTGGTGGCTTCCCCTGCCATCTTATGAATACGCACACATAGGATCTGATTAGAGAAATAAATCTGTACCTGATTCCCGGCTTGGCCATAAATTATATATTAGCTTAGCCACGACAACGTCGAAGGGAGGTTAGAATTGAGCCAAGTATCTACTTACGTGATAACAGTTTCAAGGTATAAACATAACTGAAGTTCTCTACAGGCATTGCAGCTTGGCCTATATATAGTTAGCTCATTAAATTGTAAAGATTGTAATCTTTAGCATGAAAAGGCGTGTTTATAATTAAATCTATGCATGTACTTAATGTGTACACGTATAAACAAAATTACATTTATGAGACAGGTCAGAGTCGGCTTTAATTTTTACAATGGCATCACACACGAATATAGAGTTTTCTGAAAGAAGTCTTATAAAAATTTATAAAAAAAAAAAATAATTTATCTGTGATCATTTTCGGTTTGAGGAGGGCGGATAAGAGCGTTCAGCTACTGCAAGGGAAAAGTATCCTTCTATATTTTTAGGTGAGACCTGTCGGTCATTATTTCAAATCATTTGAGACGTTAACCTATTTTTCTGGTACATCCGGCCAGTAGATACGGGCCTGCACTTATCTCCTGCCATACATCTGAAGTGGTCCTCACCAGGCAACAGGCCACAGATAATCTCTTGGCTTTTTTCAGTGGTTAGACGCTTTATCACGAACGACAGCTGTATCCACGTGCTTGACAGTTGGCTAAATACTATAGAGTTTTATATAGCTGTACTATATCCTGTTATTAAGCAACGTAGCGGGAAGCTGAGAGACCCGGAAACGACGAAACATAAGTGTACGGAGTAAACTCGAGGGATTTAGTATTGGCCATTTCATCAAACTTGGACCAAACATTAACATGATCCTACATTGTAGCTTTCATATTTTTTGTCTGTAATTTGGATTCGAAGCTTTTTTTATAAGTAGTTTACGTTCAGGTTCAAACCCGAATGAGCAGTTCGTGGCCAAATACGTCACCGCTATACCCGCGCGAGGACAGTCACGGAATCTCGTACCGCTACAGTGTATCATAGTCGAAGTTTATCATTAATAAAATGTCTTATAAATCGTCGGAAGACAAAGGGGTACAAAATAACAATAATAATAATATTCAGTAAAAATAATTATTTATCAAATTATTATGATTATGATGACAAACCATTAGGATACGCAATAAGAGCGTTGCGGTAATTCATAATTGGCTCAGAATCGGTCTCAGCGTTTGCGACCGGCGTAGCTGCGACAGCAGCAGAAAGTCTGCGGGAAATTACATCTTCTCCAGGTACTTTTAGAGCATCGCCAGAGCCAGGCAGTGGTCGAGGTCCCGCTCGGACAGGGTTTCCAGGCTCAACCTTGTTCTGTAACATGTAAATAACAGTAAAATCAAGTTGAGTAACCGAGCATGTTGTTGCCTAAAGGCACTACTTAGCCAGAGATAATTTTCACATATCACAACAGCTGTAGATATAATATATAGTCTTAGGACTACAAGGGAGAGTGTGAAGCTTATATATTCCCACAATTCGCTGTTATATTTGAGGGCATGTCTTGAATATTTTCTCAAGTCATGTAGTGTTTTCTAAGTTGGTCATTCTATAGGCTAGCAGATCGGAAAATGATTAGTTATTTAAGTCATTATTAAGGCAAGGGCCAAAAGGTGAGTTTCTGATTGTTTGAGTGAGCTGCCAGTTGGATTTGTTTGCCATAATTGCCTATGGGACTTCTCCTCTAGCTTCCGTGTATATTTTGAGGATTGTCTGGCCACAGCCCGCAATGGTTGTACTATGGAGCTTGACAAATATGGACGTGTGAGAAATCTGCACAAAAGAAGCACTCTGTGTTTGATCTTACAATGACAAACAGAAGAGAGAAGAAAAACTGTTAGGTCCTAAGATTTAAAATCATTGCAGCGTGACATAAAAAAGTACAGAATTCCCAAATCTATTCTCTGGTGTAGATATTTTTTTCGACAAAATTCAATTAAGCTACCTCCATCCGGGCAGACTTTCCTTGGCAAACGGGTATTTCCTCAAATACGTCGTAGACAGCCAGCGAATACTTGACGAAATCACTTTGGAAAACAACTATTTTGTATTGTAAATGTCACCATACACAACAAACACACGTAAAGAGTCAGCCTATATCTAAAAAGGTCTCAAACACCCATTCCAAGGCGGCGGCGCCGAAGGTGGTGGTCGTCGTCGGGATCCGTTGATTGCACGTTGACGTCAGGGGCAAACAGCATTCAACTTCAGTATTCCATCTTTCGATGTTCAGATGTCAGATATGTTCTTTGTCTTGGTAACGATCAGCCGAACATTTTCTGAACCACTAAATGTAGTATTGCTGTTGATTAAAATTCGGCCATAATGAAGTAAGCGCTCTCAGCTGTTCCTTAAAGATGATCCTATGCCGAAAAGGAAACAAACATAGATGTACGTAAAACATGATCGAAATAGAGAACGCGAATTGAAATCGCAATAAATTGGGCCCGGATACGTTTGAATGCCACACTTTGCTTCGATGCTTCCTCTGGCTAGTTTTAACCATCGAGTGTAAAGGCGCGATAGCAGGATGTACAATGATGTAGGACAATCGCGTGCCCGCACGCGAGCACCTCGCGACGGCTCAGAGCGGAGAGCCGCATCTTTCACTTTATAAACAGAATAGCTCTTGAGTCGGAGATTCAGTGTTCCCGATTGTTTCAAACACAGATCAATTGAAATTATTGTTGTTATTGTACAATTTCAACGATTCACTTAATAGAATAGAGCTTGTTAATGCTGTCGAGCTCAACACACAACTGCCTAGGCCAACTCTGTGTTTTCGGTTTTCTCCGCTTATTTTTTTTTATTATGCTGGTAAATAGTGTAGATAGGAACGCCCATAAGTTGATGTCACCTATGGCGTTCTCTACAATGATAAATCATTCGTGTAATGCAAAATCGAAGAGTTCTTTATAGATCCATACCCTTTAAGGAGATGAATCTACGAGGGAAAGAGTAGTTCTTAGTTATCTCACGATACAGGAAAGTTCTTTTTGATAAATCGTCCAACGATATAATTCAGTCACATCTGTCAAATGAAGTAGCACAAGCTAAAGGTTATTCGGGAATATGAAGATGTAATTTAGAACGAGAGTAAATCTTGACGGGAAACATTACAAATTTCAATAACAATCAGTTTAAGTATATGGATAGGCTCTAGCGCACGTTCAGGAGTAGACCTTCCGGCCCTACATTAACTATTCCCCAACAGAAAAACAATAACTTAAGAAGTCATAAGGGCAGCTGTTCGGTTACAGAATTCACTCACGGTTAGATGATTCTTAACCGAAGATATTGACTTTCTATTTTAATGGGCTAGGCCTTGAGTTACATAAAAAATTGAAGGTTTCAAGTTTTGATTGGTACTTGGAATAAACCTGTCCTTATGCTAGGGATCATTTTAAACCTTCGGATCCCGTTTCTCAACTGCGAAGAAAAAAACAATTGAAAAACAGCGCTGACATTTCAGTACAGGGCCAGTTTTCAACAACAATGTAGGCACGACACAGTTCGTAGGTCCACACACGTGTAGAGACCTAGTTTTCTAGGGTGCTTCAAAAACTTATTCGCTGCTACCATGGTGATGTGCTGCTATGTCTTACGTGAGTAAGGTAACGTTCACTTAAGTTTAAGACAGAAGTGCATTACATCCGTAACTACGAATGTTTCTTCTTAAAACTGACAGAGAACGTATGGCTAGCCCAGTTGCCAGATCATTCGGTAGGCAAATCGCCCTTAATTGGGCCTTGTTAGATTTAGTAAATTCGGCTTATGTTAACTAATTGCAATGTTTTCGTTATGTCTGTTGACTAGAACGTTTTGAACAATAAATTAATTTGTCACTGTTTCTTATGTTACATTATTAAAACAGCTTTAAGAAAATTCCAATACTTTACACGTTTCCCTCTATCCTAAGGCGCAGGGAAATTTCGAGCAATGTTAACTAGAAAAATTGTCACGTAAATTTAGCTTAATCGCTTAGGATCGTCTATAACATGGTTTTATCATTGATACCGTTTAAAAAAGCCCTCCCGTCTTGCGGACTCTACTCAGCTTCCCAATAACCCGATTCACAGTGGGACTAATATGGTTTTGTAGTACGCAGCTAGCGAAATCTTTGTGGATCTATTGTATATTTTGGAGTATATTCACGTTCATGTTCACCTGCAAAATCCTGTATCCATCTCTGCCAGCCCTGTAGTGTGTGATACGCAGGTCTCCGTTAGGGTCGGTGTAACCGAATCTTCCACGCACCTCACCATCTTCATCTCGCCACTGCTGATGGAACGAGTGAGCTCCGAACAGTCCCGTATCGTAGCCAAAGTTGTACGCTCCACTCTTCGTTGACAGACTTTGATACTGGAGCTGGTCGTGAGTATAATCGATCGACTGTATTCCACAGAACATCGAGGCAGCTATTACGAGTGCCATTGCAGACAATGGAGATCGTTTACTGCCGTAGACCATTTTGATATCGACGGTAGTAACTAGGTTTTCACTAGCGATTTAGATGCACAGATAGTTCAATTATTATTATTATTATCTAGCAAAATTATTGGCCTCTAGTGTTTGTACATGATTTACTTCCGACGTCTGATACGCTCAGTAGTCCATAAGCGTAAATTTTCAATGAAAAACTTCGTAGAAATCACTTCGGCAGTGAAGACAGATTTTCTGTTGCTTTACTTTTTCTAGTGGATGCACTGAAATCAAACGGCCTACTGTTGCCTGCTGGCTACGTGCAATGGCACGGACGATGTCGCACAATTCAAAGTCTACAATTTTCAATCGGTGCTGTTTTTATATCTCTGGCAATCGCGAAATGATGCTTTGTACGATCGTGTGTAGGCTGTCACGCTGTTTCCGCGGTAGATGTCTGTTAGTGGCATGAACCGTCGTACATCGCTGGAACAACCCCGCAAAGGAAAGGGAAGACAAAGCACGACGCGGATGCATCTCCGTCATAGTAAAGATTACAGTGACATTGCCCGCGAGATATTCGTAACATCGTTGGGATTTATTTGAGTACCATATTCCCCGCCAACATGGACCTTACTGGCGCGCTGAATACGAATTTGATCAAAAAATAGAATTGTAAGCTACCACATTGCCTTTACGGTCTTCGTTAACAAAGTGTTATATTATTAAACTCGACTTTACGTTGTTATGTAATTTTAGCACTGCCAGTCGTCAGAGAAGCAATGTCACCACGTAATGCTGTTTGTTATACGCGTACCGGCCATTTCACTTTTATCGCTCTATTCTGTAGCAGTCCAAGTGAGCTCTGCCGTTGGTTGAACAGAACCAATGATAATGGCGGTAGTAATCAAATAGCCCCAGTGAAAGTGGCCAAGCGAGTGGGAAGCGACCAAGTTTCTGACTGCTGGATGTTCGTAGGGGCCGACCAGACTGCCACCAGTCGCTAGGAAGAAATGAAGAACATCGACAACGTACAGATAGAGACAAATCAGTGGATCGATCATATACGCAAGACGCACACACAGAAATACACTAACTACATACAGACTGAACGATCCGACTCAATGAGGGACAAAACAATGAGGGACGCGGGCTATCGTCTGAGATTTGACGCCACCGACGATGACGACAACGGCCAAAGCAGGTGTAGTAGTTGAGTGACATCTACTTAGTCTTTCATTGGCGCGGCTATGGTTTGCATATGGCCACCGAACATCGAAGGACAGTACGAAATAAACTATAACAGATTGTCGGTGTTTTCGGTGGCAGTCACTAGTTAACCATCTATCGTGATGCGAATGGTCGATAAACATTTCTCAATGAATTACATTTGTTTATCAGCAATAAACGTTTTTCATAGGGCCTCTCGTTTCCTAGGCGATTGTTTGTTTACTATTATGCAGTGCACTTAACAGAGAGTTTGTAGCGCCACTGAAAAATATGATCTTTTTTAAAGGATATTTGAGCCATGTTACAATGTAAATTTGGCAAAGTATTTAGGCCAACCGGCAACAGTTAGCACTCAAAGACTGTTGGTCGTCGGCGAGTTTCGGCCAGTCCAATAATCCGCAGCCTTAGTTATTTCTATGATTTTAAAAATGTCAACTTCTATCGGTCTCTAAGTGTCACTGGTAGATTGGAAGAGAAGTCGAATACTTCGAAAAGTCGCGCACACAAACTGCATGTGCCGCATAGACACATATGCGTTGTGTACCTGTGTTTCGAAATTATTCTAAGCGTTCCATTTAATTTAACAGCTATTTTAGTCACCTATTATTGACGTTGGCCGATCACTTACTGATACTTGGTTAGATTAGCAGCGAATGTTGGCCAAGAAAATGTTCAACCTGGTACAGCTTTCAGTAAGGCCATTTGTCGTAAGCCTTTGCGCTGAGGCAACTCTTATACGACAACAACTATATACAATATAAGTTTTGTTTTCTTTGCCTAATTGATCCATTCTCATTTCAGCCGCTTCCGCTTAGCGTTCGTCGCCCTCATACGGCAAAAACCTGAAACCAAATGATGTGCTTCAGTCAGCAGATATATAGTACCGACTACGGAAAACGTTTAGCCGAGGCGAATACTCTCGAACCATTAGTGAGCAATGGGATTCCTGTCACACAGTTGCTTTTTCGTTCATTGACAGAACATGGCAGACAGAAGAACATGGCTCAATGCGTTACAGTCAGTTACCACAAGATAAGACCATACAATTTCTAGATGGAGACAAACGTGCTACTCGTGAATGAAAGCAAGAGCGACAATATGATTCCGATTAACTGCAATCAGACACTGGTTGGCCCTGCGTTTTTTTTTGTTTACCAAAAAAAAACGTGTAATTTGCACTTCGGCAGATTTACGGTAATACTCTCCATTGAAATCGTGATGATCGGCAAGACTGCTTTCTGTCCTACTAGTTAAAACAAATACTGCGTACATTTAGCCAAAGACTACTGCGTGGAGCATGTATCTATGTGCATGTATTCGGTATACTGGAAGTGCAACTTGCATTAGTAATATTAAGTTAGGAATACCTTGAGGATTGATTTCAGGCAAACTTCGTATACGTGCATCGTGCCGAATTGAGGTAGCGTATATTCGAGTAACACGCGTGGAAATAACGAGCACGCGCGCTACTATAATTTCGCGCATAAATCGTCCAGAATATATCTTGTTCATGTACAAAAAATTAGCCATCGGGTTCCAAGCAGATCTGATTAATGCATCACCGAATGAACCAGAATAATTCATGACGATAGACGTTTATGGGAGAGGACTAGGTCGTTAAAATTCTGCTGTAAGCTTTTTTGCGATGACATCAGAGGACGTCAGACGTGATCGCTAAGAAGCACCCCCATCCGTCGCTCAAACTCGAGAGATGGAATGCGACCAACGTCAACAGGCAGAAAGTATGTTCCTTCGTTTGCATGCATCATCTGCCCTTGCTATTTTCCTTTACTTGTTAGTATTCTTTTCAATAGAATGCCTTCCTTTATGACATATATGCTGTGCATATTACCAAATATAGTGTTCGATGAGAGGTACATAAGCATGCGGCAGTATAAGCAAATATCTGTTGACGCTTATGAATTGGCGTCGAACATAAAGATGTTGTTGTAAGTAAACAGTGTGATGATGGCTCAGTGATGACGAAAGTACGATATGCCTCGCTACTACTTTCTCGGATGCTCACGATGCCTCTGATATAAAGCGTAAACAACCATTAAGCACTCCACTGTAGAAACAGTGGGAACGGTATCGGTAGTCCGGCGTGACAGCGGTCGCTGGGGGCACTGCAGGGACAGCGGCAAGGTTTCCGAACGAGATAATCATTCATTATTAGATCCATTTGTCTATCTGAATGGCCTCTATCACTGCGCGAGTCAGTTTAGTTTGCGCATCACGATGTATGCGGGTGTGCACATTGTTTGCCTGCGTGTGGGGGGGGATAGGGGTACTGGCACAATCGCTAGTAGCGTTTGGCAAACGACTGTGATACAATGTTTGCTAAGGGAAAACCAATATCGTTGCTGCTACACTGAATGACATTGTCTGCTTAGACTTGCTCACGTATGGGGCACAGCTGACGCTTCCTTCCCTTCGTATGAGCGCCTATCAGGATCTGTACTTGTTTAATCTACAATAGGACATTGGACGACTGAGTAGCTCCAACTACAGATTCGGACAGTTGAGAGAAGGTAAGGTTTATGGAAAACGACCTTTTTGCAGAACGCCTATCAACTCCTAATCTGTATATTCATTGCTATAAATTAGTGTGAGGCTAGATCATGGACAAAAGAGGAGAATGCTGGATTGAGTGTAAGAGGAGAGCGAAAACAACAGGTTGTGGCTGCTTGTCTTTGAGGTAACGATACTTACATCAAAAAGGCAATTGTACAAGAATGAACATACAAAAAAAGGTAACAAATTTTTTTACGGAAACTAGGGGCAACGAAATGAAACCATATGAAAAGATAATACAGTTTAAACGCATGGACAAACGACTGAAAGATGAAAAAATAGATCATTAAAAGCACGAATGGTGGCCTCTTGTTCTAGCAGGAAATGCCAAATAGCTAATATAAATTCTGTATATACACACAAAGTGCATATACAATCATGTAGAAATACTGAAATAAAGTTAACTTGACGTACTTTACATTAACATAAGCTAAGTGATCTAAGGACCGTTAGTTTTCTACTCAATGTATAGCAATTAGTCCCCTTTGGGCGCGCTCGACAGCTTTTCGATTAGCCTGTGCATTGCTGTAACTTGTCAAAGGAGACGCTACATTCGTTTTCAACATAATGAAACCTATTGATCGAACAACAAGTGTTAAAACGAGTTTTTTGTCAACGAAGTGTACAGACGCCAACGGAGTACCGCCAAAGAGTACTATGGCCCAAAGCATAAGCAGGCGCTGCGATACTTTCCAACAATAAATGGCGCCGCGAGAAAGGAATTTCTCTCTGGAAAAAACCAATTGAAATTTTGTTCCTCTCCGTTTGCGATGAGTCGTGAGAGTGTTTATGTGTCGGTCTAGTCGGATGATAATTTCACTGCATAAACGCCGAAGACTGTGTCTTCCCAAAGTATACAGGTAAAATTCGGTAAGGCAAGCATGAATCTTTAAGAAAAGCGTGTTTGCTTTTTACGAGGTCGATTTAACTGGAAATAGAAGCAACAAAACGAACGTTCCTTGCCAAAAATATATTATCGGCTTATATCGATTTACCGCCTTTCACTGGATAAGAGTCACTGGAGGTGATGTATGTGTCCCATAGGTTTACACGATATGCTCAATTGCTTCGTGAAAATCAACTCATAAGCGGTAACAAACTGGGAAACGTTAAGAAATTACCATTCTGCCTGCCGCGCCATGAACAACAAGGCCACCACATGCCGTACTCGCTAGCGGCAGACGCTGATCTGTTTACGCTCTAGCCGGATTTTTTCTGGCATTGTTTGCATCGCTCCGCGTCATCAGGTTTTTGAAGCACTTCCCTGATGGACGAACTCATCCTTTACATACTTCGAATACGACTGGCTTGTTTTTTGCTTAAATATCATAGCTACCACACGAACAATTACTGTCACCATCGCTTATATCGAACTGTGGAAAAAATACGTCGAAAATCGTGTTTTGTTTTCGCCCACTGTTAAGTAACGAACGCATAGACCTGCACAGTTCTGGCAAATTTTCAATAGGACAAAACGAGAGCCTTTGTACCGTTTCATCTTCGATTAATACAGTGGTTGGCATTACACATTGTAGCTTTTAGCAGGTCCAGACGCCACATGTACATATGATACAGGCAAAGTCGCAAAACGGCATCATATGGTACAGCGCCTCCCCTTTGAGGCAGCTCGTAACCTTCTATTACCGTACGTGCACATGGTTAGTGCTGTTCAGAAAAATACTGATGCACATTAGCTGAACTGAGAAACCCACCGAAGCCCAAAACTGGAGGCCAATCTACGCATAGCTGTAACCTCACAGCCTTTTGTATTTATTGTTTTTTTTTTTTGGAGTTTTTTCGATCCAACAGTTCTGAACACAGCGTGGCCCAGCAATGTCACTCAGACTACATTTGCCGATTGCACGGCTGGATCTGACAAACTAAGATCATTGTATCTGCCTTTTTCTCCATTGAGGGAGCAACGCGGCTTAATGACATTTATATGTCCTAGGTGGACACCGAGCGTTTTAAAGCTTGTCATGTTTATAAGCGTTGCTGACACTGATCACAGATGAACAGGGATGAGCGGTCAGTTTTGATCAAAAATGCGCCTAGTATCTAAACATGTCACTATTGAAATGTTAACTGATTCCACGCATAAGTCTAGCATTGGCCATTGTCTGATACATCCATAAGCAACGGGTAGCTACTTAATGGTGATAGATGCTATAAATCTTTGTTGGAAGTTCGATGTTGTGCCGCCATTTAGATCAGTGACAGTTTGTCACTTGCCGAAGGGCAACCATTGCGCGTAGATTGTTAGATCTGTATATAAGTATATTGTATAGTCCTACGTATACTAAAAGCATCCGTTCCTCGAAGTCCGATGGCTCACAGTGTTAGTACGACTCAGAGACGCTTGGCTGTGGTCGAGCTTCATGGCTATGGTCTCTAATGCGTGCTATATATAAGTCGCAGAACAATGGTTGGCGGCACTTGTGTGTTTTCAAATCCGCCGCCGAACGGCAGCGCTAACTCGCATCTGCGTAGTGGTAGACCAGCATGTTCGGGCTATTACCATCGAATGTCGTGTGCTTGATTCTATTACCATATGTTCGTCCTAAGTTCAACATTACCGTAATAGGATTAACCTTAAATCATTGTTGTTTTGCTCTTTCTTTATCGTCGTATCACACTCGTTCTGTGGGATGTCGGCGCGACAGCCTAAACTTGACCCGATATAGTCATGTAAATGATCTGGCTGAATTTGTTTATGTACCACTAAATATTGTTAATTGTTAGTTACATATACGATACGCGATTAACGCCGTTCTGTCATACGGTCCATTTTAGAATCTATAATAGGCCGGCTGCAATCGAACGGTAGGGTTTGTTTG